TTCTTCAACTTTTGAGCGCATGCGTACAATAAAGAGGAAGAAGTGAAGCAATATTTTTGTGATGGGTTATATAAAGATTTCTTTTTACTTTTATTTTTATCCATTAAATTAGATTTTTAGGTCACCTGAGTCACTCAGGTGACCTACTGCTATCTGTTTTCGTCGTGCGTCGTCCGTTAACTTTTGAACATTTTTAACTTCTTCTCTGGAACCGCTCAACCAATTTCAACCAAATTTGGTATATAGCATCTATGGGTGAAGGGGAACAAAAATTGTGAATTTCATGGTCCCTGCCCCCCCCCCCCCCGGGGCCTGAGGGGTGGGGCTAAAACCACCAAAAATAATGCAATCTTTAAAAATCTTCTTCTTTACTCCTGGACATCAAGCAGTCAAACTGTTGGCATCATTGTAACAAGCATTGAGGCCTCTACCAAAATTGTGAAATTCATGGCCCCAGAGTCAGGGGTTCTGGTGTTAGGGCGGGGCTCTATTGATTATATAGTGAAAATGCATTAATTCTTTGAAAATCTTCTTCTCTGCTCCTGGGTATTAAATAAAGGAACTAAGTACATAGTTATGATGAGCAAGAGTGCTTATTCCAAAATTGTGAAATTCATGGTCAGGGTCAGGGGTTCTGGTGTTAGGGCGGGGCTCTATTGATTATATAGTGAAAATGCATTAATTCTTTGAAAATCTTCTTCTCTGCTCCTGGGTATTAAATAAAGGAACTAAGTACATAGTTATGAAGAGCAAGAGTGCCTCTTCCAAAATTGTGAAATTCATGGTCCAAGGGTCAGGGGTTCTGGTGTTAGGGCGGGGCTCTATTGATTATTATAGTGAAATGCATTAATTCTTTGAAAATCTTCTTCTCTGCTTCTGGATATTTAATAAAGTAACTAAGTACATAGTTATGATGAGCAAGAGTACCTATTCCAAAATTGTGAATTTCATGGCCCCAGGGTCAGGGGCTCTGGTGTTAGGGCGGGGCTCTATCAACTATATAGTGAAAATGCATTAATTCTTTGAAAATCTTCACCTCTGCTCCTGGGCATTAAGGTGACTAAGTACATAGTTATGATGAGGAGGTGGGTCCCTTCCAGAATTGTGAAAGCCATGGCCCCTGGGTCAGGGGTTCTGGTGTTAGGGTGGGGCTCTATTGATTATATAGTGAAAATGCTTTAATTCTTTGAAAATCTTCTTCTCTGCTCCTGGGTATTATTTAAACAAACTAAGTGCATGGTTATGATGCATAAGGATGCCTTTTCAAAAATTGTGAATTTCATGGCCCCAGGGTCAGGGGCGGAGCTCTATTGATTATATAGTGAAAATGCATTGATTCTTTGAAAATCTTCTTCTCTGCTACTGGAGAGTATTTAAACAAACTAAACATGATTATTTAAACATGATTATGATAGACAAGGATGCCTCTTCCAAAATTTTTAAATATATGGCCTCAGTTTTTTGGGTTCTTGAGGAGGGGGGGGGCTTTATTGATTATATAGTGAAAAAGCATTAATTCTATTAATTAATCATTAATTAGTCCTGTCTGCTCCTTTGTGTTGAGCTGATAAATAAATTGCTTAGCTATGATGAAAATGGGAACTTCGAACAGAATTTTTAAACCTTGTGGTCCTGGAGTCAGGGCTTCTAGCATAATGGGGGGGGGGGGCTTTTGATAATATAGTGGAAGAGTGTTAATTCTTCGAAGTCCATAGTTATGATGATGAGGGTACCTCTTCCAAATTTGTAAATTTCTTGACCCTTGGTCTTGGGTTCTGGTGTTAGGGTAAGGCTTTGTTGAATCTGTAGTGAAAATGCATTGTACCTGTGAAATTCTTCTCTGTTTCTGGGCATATCGGAAGCAAACTGAGTAAAAGTTTAAATGATATGAGTAAGCGTATTTCTACCAGATTTTTAAACATCTGGACCATTCGTCTAAGCATTCTGGTCCTGGGCAGGGCTCTATTAACTTGCATTCTACTGAGAGAAGTTATTCCCCTTTTCCACTCATCTTTGATAATTAATCACTGTAAATAATGTATTTGAAAGGTTAATAGAATAAGATAATTATGCAAGAATGTTTATCGTATAATTCAAAGAGTACTTTCTTAGTTTTAATAATCAGGTAGACCTGTAAGTAATAGATAAATAAAAATGAGACAAAAATAACTTATCTTACTAAAAGTTCTTCAAAGACCATAGGAGAGGTCAATGCTAGAGGTCTTAATATGGGTTTAAAAATAGTACAGAAGCACTAATAGTTTGTTAATAGTCTGCATGGGGATAGTGTTAAGTGGGGGACAAATTAGAACTTAATTTATGAGTTGATACTGAATACTAGACTAATTATTTTGTTGATCCTGATCTTCCTACTTCTCTCGCTTTAGGGCAACAATGCTTCATCTATCAGTGTATTTAACTTCTAAATTGTTGTATTATACTCAGGTGACCGTTAAGGCCCTTGGGCCTCTTGTTTAGGTTCTGAAACCTTTAATTTTCTGAAACCTAATATCTTCAAGAACTGAACAAAATTTGCATGTGTCATGCAAAAATTCTACTGTTGTCAATTTTCCCGTTTGTCCGTCACAGTGTCACTTTAACAAGGTTATGCCAGCCTAATAAATAATGTACGTAGCTGTAACTAAATTTAGAATTCACTCGTCATGTGTCGTAGGTATTTAAATGAGGAATAATCATGAGTTTCTGCAACACCCTCTTTAGTAATGTTAAATGCAATTAATAGATATCGGTATAGTACATGCATCTACATAGCGTACAAAGAATGTTACCAATAGATAAGTGTACTGTCAAAATAGTGTGAAAACAGAGTGTTTGTCTCACTTCAATCATGCGTTAGATCTAGTGAGGATTTAGAAGATAATTGATTGTGCAAGCCAAGTAATGGGCAGTAATTAGAGTAAACTGACGGGTTACCATTATTTCGTTACTGAAAAACGGTACATAATTTAGAGTTTCGTTTTCAGAATTATAGATTTATGTTCCTGATCGACAACGATCTTACTGTGGCGCTAATATTTTACTGTGGCGGAACTATGGTGCTGTTTTTTTTAACTGTGGCGGGGCCGCCACATTAAAAGGCCCATGGAGAACCCTGAGGTGGTATCTTAACAGAAAATACAACAGAAGATTCGGAAGTTTTCATTTATGCTTCATTTATGCTTTTGGTATGAGAACATCAAATCTTCTCTTTTTTATTTGCTCAGCAATGCAAGTTGTATTATCTGTTATGTCTCCCTTAATATTGCAAGAAAGCAACATCTCAGATTCAAGGGGTATCTCTGTTTATTCATAATTATTACTCTTGTGCAAGTGTTATCTTAACGTTTTTCCTTATACAACTGGATATTAAATTCAGAGGACATCAATTTTCATCTACTAGTATCCAACAGGACTTTGTTGTCAGGAAATCTATCTCCAGAAAGACTCCCATTCCGCAATTACAATCGGATGCTCAAATTTTGATCTATTTATAAGAATTGGAAAAATTACATTTTCCGAAACACGTTGGGTTTCGCCCTCTGCTGTTGTTAACGTATCTGCTACCTCAGTTAAAATTGATATAGGACTCATTTTCTCGTATACCCCAATCGACAGCAGGGAGACAGATGAGCATGTATCGATGAGCTTTGCACGCTCACATCACCAGTCCTAATCTTTGGAAACCATGCAGCAGCTGTTTGAAATAGGTAACAACCTAATAAAAGATGGGGCTTGTTAATATTAGCTCTACTGGTCGGAGACCAGAAGAGCTTATGCGATAGTATTGTGCCCATCGTCCGTCCTTCTGTCGATAAACAATTTTTTAAAATGCTAATCCTCCTACAGTTTTTTGTCCGATTTCAAGATAACTTGGTGCACTAGTACAGGACTTTTGCGAGGAGTGCTGACTTTTACAGTTGACGGCTTACTTTTACACTAGGACAATGTACGGAAGCTCTTCTACGATATAAATATTTAAGTCAACATTTAATTAAACGAAAATAACGGGTTATTTCAAAGCACAAATAAATTGCCCTTGAAGAAAACGACAACCACCCTACCCTTAACTTCCAGCCTTCACATGTTAGTGCCCCTAACACCATACCTATGACCACTAGAAATATTTTCCCATCTATTATCAACTCTGTACCTCCATACATGATACAGGTTTAAATGTCAAAGTAAACAGTCAACTGTAAAAGCAGTGCTTCTCGCAAAAGTCCACAATGCAGATATATAATTCTGTCTATCGGTTTTCGATTTCGACTAGTACAATAAAGATACATAATTCTGCCTATCGGTTTTTGATTTCGACTAGTACAATAAAGATACATAATTCTGTCTATCGGTTTTTGATTTCGATGAACGGTGTTGCCAAGGAAAAACATTCCGAATAATTCGTTCATCCTGCGTTCACGTTCTGCGTTCGCACACTGTTCATAAAACGTTTGCCAAATTACGTTCAGCGTACACAACCGTTCATTCGCCGTTCGTACAGCGTTCGCTCATCGTTGACTCCGTTCGCTTACTGTTCAAGTGGGAAAGGCTAACGTTTCAAGAATATGTGAGATAAAAGAAAGTTTATAATCAAAGATGCCAGTAAAGTCTTTTTAGTATTGCACATTAGTAAATAATTACATGCAAATGTCATGAAGTACTTTAATTCAGACGTGAAGAGATTCACTTCATACAAATCGATATAAAGTACATCAGAGTGATACATGTAACTATGGTAAATCCCCGTTTCAGTTCTCTCTATAATAAACCAAGTTTTGAAAGTGATATTTATAGTAGATCAAAGCGTCAGAGTTATAACTATAGTAAAAACAAAGTGTCAAAGTTATCACTATAGTTTACTATCGTATTTCTTTTTGTAGGGGATTCTAGTAGACTTTTCTTTCCCAATTAATTAGTTCATGGGAGTACTCGTATAACTAAAATAAATATATTCGTATTTGCTTAAATCGTCCCATTTTCATCTCAATGATTTTTTTATACAGTGGAAACTCTTACGTGTTCATCCTCAAGTTCTATTCAAATTGGTTCAACAACCACCACAACTTTCCAATTTGGAGATGGCAGCAAAACCTATAATACGCAAGTCTTTTTTTCACAATTGTATTTTTATTACATATGTATTTTCTATTTCTATTGCTTGAATACTTTTTTGATATTTTAAATAAATTTTGTTCAGTCAATGAGAACGCATTCATTAATCTGGTAAGAAACGTTTCAAAACACTGCTAGACTAGTTTAGACAACATGTATAGGCGCTTAGTTGTGCTTCAGTGTCAGTAAATACTAGTCGATTTTTATATTACCTGAGTCATTCAGGTGACCTTTTGCTATGTTTTTGTCTTCGTCGTCCATTGTTCGTCGGTCGTAAACTTTTGAACATTTCCAGCTTCTTCTCTTGAGCCGTTGAACCAATTTCAACCAATTTTATCATATAGCATCAGTTGGTAAAGGGGTATACAAATTTTGAATTTCATGTTTCCTCCCCCTCCGGTCCCCTCGGGGCCTGAGAGGTGGGGTTAAAACCAGCAAAATTAGTTCAATCTTTAAAAAGCTTCTTCTTAAGTCCTGGATATCAAGCAGTCAAACTGTTTGCATGATTGTAATAAGCATTAAGCCCTCTCCCAAAATTGTGTCAGGGGTTCTAAAGTTAGGACGGGGCTCTAATGATCATATAGTGAGAATGCATAAATTATTTAAAAATCTTCTCTCCCCTTGTATTTTGATAAGATAAACTAGATGTATGGTTATAATAAGCAAGGGTGCCTCCTTCAAATTTGTGGCTCCAGGGTCAAGGGTTCTGAATATAGGGCGAGGCTCTTATGATCATATAGTGAGAATGCATTTATTCTTTAAAAATCTCTTCCTCTCTCCCTGTATATTTAGTAGATAAACTATGTGCCTGGTTATGATGAGCAAGAATGCCTATTCCAAAATTGTGAAAATTGTGGCCCCCGGGTCAGGGGTTCTGAAGTAAGGGCAGGGCTCTAATGATCATTTAATGAGAATACATAAATTATTTTAAAATCTTTTCTCGCCTTGTATATTTAAAAGGTAAACTAGGCGCACTGTTATGATAAGCAAGGGTGCCTCTTTCAAATTTGTGAAATTTATGGCCCCGGGGTCAAGGGTTCTGAAGAGAGGGCGAGGCTCGTATGATTATATAGTGTGAATACATAAATTATTTAAAAATCTTTCTCCCTGTATATTTAGACGATAAACTGTATGTGCCTGGTTATGATGAGCAAGGATGCCTTTTCCAACATTGTGAAATGTTTAACCCCAGGGTCAGGAAGTCTGGCGTTGCGTTAGGATGGGACTCATGATCATACAGTAAAGATGCATAAATTCTTTAGAAATCTTTTCCTCTCTCCCTATATCTGTAGAAGACAAGCTACGTGCCTGGTTATGATGAGCAAGGGAACCCCTTTAAAAATTTATGAAATTTTTGGCCTCGGGGTCAGGAGTTCTGGCGTTAGGCCGGGACTCTGATGATCATATAGTGAAAATGCATAGATTATTCAAAAATCTTTTCCTCTCTCCCTGTATTTGTAGAAGATAAACTATGTGCATGGTTATGATGAGCAAGAGAATCCCTTTCAAAAATTGTGAAATTTGTGGCCCCGAGGTCATGGGTTCTGCAGTAAGGGTGAGACTCTAATGATCATATTGTGAGAATGCTTAAATTCTTTTACAATCGTCTTGTCTCTTTCTCTAGAGATGAACTAGGTGGCTGCTGGTTATGATGAGCAAGGGTGCCTCTCCAAAATTGTGAAATTTGTGGCCCCAGGGTCAGGTGTTCTGGAGTTAGGGTGGGCCTCTAATGGTCATATAGTGAAATTGTATATATCTTTGAAAATCTTCTTCCTGCTTTGGTATTAAGCAATCAACATTTTTATCTACATGTAATTGCATAGTTATGATAAGCAAATGTGCCTTTTCAACAACTGAGAGAACAAGAGAGACCAATAATAGAGGGAATGCAATCGGTATTCTAATAATGCTGAAACACGTTTGTTTTGTTTAGTCGGAATGGTGATAGTGACAAATGGGGGCGGGTACAGAGAAGTAAATAGATTTGATTTAACATTTGTTACCGAGTAATAGACTAATTATTTTTTTGATCCCTGATCTTCTGATTTCGCTTGCTTTTGGACAACAAAACTTCGATAACCTATCTGTTTATTAATTTTTATTTTATTTTATACATCTGCGGACCCTTTACAATGTTGTGTTATACTCGGTTGGCCGTTAAGGCTCTTGGGCCTCTTCTCATTTAATAGCGAGCGACGCTTCACGCCGCTCGTCACTGCGAGCTCTTAAAGCAACGCCTGGGCGAAGAAAACATTCGGGCTGTCTGCAATTTTTTCTCCGCAGTAAACTCAATACCGATAGTGCTTCATAAATTGCATATGGCGCCCAAACGAATTCTCGCTATAACCAAACAAATAAGCTAAACCTGATTTAATGGATATTACAGATAGATTTAACCTTTTTGTGTAAAATAACAAATTTCAGATTTCGTTTTGGATATCCAACTATAATACGACGTCATGTGACGTCAGTTTCGACATGCGGTTTGAATAGGTGGATCGCCCCTGTGGTCGCGCCGTCAACACACTGAATGCAATTTTGCTCCAACGATTACAAATTAAATCTGATATTCAGAATTTTTTCTTTTGCTTTTCGATTTTTTTTGGTTGTGCACACATACCTTACTGGGTCTATTTTAAAGAAATAGTCCTTTTACTTGACTATTTTATAAAAGAATAAAAGTCATTTATCTCGGGGAGAGTTGTACTGTTAAATTGGAAACTTTGACAATGTGGAAACCCTGATGAAATTTACGAATCCCTAATAATAGTCAACGTTTACACTCGTCAACTTTTACATTTGTGTCAAAAGTACTGTTAAATTCTAGTTGATAGTTTCCACTCGCCGTATTTCTAAAGACCAAAATCGTCAAACTTTCAACCATATATATAACCACTTTTACCGTATCGGTAATGAACCTCAAAAATAATAGATGGATAATGAACTACTTTTTTAAATAGACTGTTGTCATGTACGTGGACATTCACAGCAACTGATACATCTGCAAATCTCGTCATTGGACAAAGACTAAAGTGTGGGGATGGCGATGAACTATCATTACATGACGGTACTTATGACATACATTTAAGTTCTTAAATTGTATGTTCCAAAAGTTAATTTGATCATTTTCGATTTTTAAAATAAATATTACCATGAACAGGAGGTGGTAGGCCTAAAACAATTTCTTGCTGTGTTGATTGCACAAAAACTCCAGAAGTCACAGGACCTACAGCAACGATCGGCTTCACCTCAGACGGGACTCGAAATCCCAATGACATAGGATTCTATCTCGACATATTTGCTGGGAAAGATGAATGTAAGTCATAAAATGTTCAAACTGCATGTTTTCAGAAAATTCCGTCTTGTTTAAAATAATTGCGTTCTTTCAAAAAGTCCAGTGGATGTTCTGATGAATAACCTTCAGACAAACTGTAACTGTTCAAATAACTAAAAACACACTGAGGTTTTCATATAAAGTCAGAAACGTTTCCATGCGTCCATGGAAAGATTAAGATCTAGATTTGCAAAACTTTTTAAAAAAAAAAAAAATTAATTTAGGGGAAGTCAATTTGATTGGGGGGGGGGGGGGAGGGCAAATTTTTCCGAGTCAGATTATTAATTTTCATGTCGGTGAAGGACAGATTTATTTCCAAGATGATCGAGGACAGACTATTTATTTTCTTCTTCACTGAAAGAAGTCTTGACAATCAAAAAATAAGTGCATGTAGCATCAGTGAAGTATAATACATTACCGCTCAATTTTATTTTGTTGTTTCCGTATTTTTTTTTCACTGTTAAAATAGCACCGACAAAATATATCCAAATAATATAAGTTACAAACAACACAATATGGCATCTTGATCCTTCAATATCCATATCTAAAGTTTTTGTTTGTTTGTTGTTTAACGTCCCTCTCGAGAATTTTTTCACTCATATGGAGACGCCACCACTTGCCGGTGGAGAGCTGCAAATTTATACCTATACTCGGCACTCAGGGCCATTGAGCAGTGATTTTTTTTTCATGCCAACATCTACTGCGACACGGGACCTCGGTTTATACGGTCTCATCCGAAGGACCGGTCTCCACGTCCCCATATCTAAAGTAAAATGATTTCCGAATGAATCCTACACGTTTCTCACACGATTCTTGCACGAAAGTCGCAGGTTTCTCACACGGTTCTCACACGCTCGCTACACGGTTTCCACGAAACACTTTGAAGCTTACACGAAACACTGCATGGCTTACACGAAACGCTACACGCTTCGCACGAAAGTCACTTGCTTTTTTGGGGTAGTAGCACGTTTCACGGTCTGTAAACTGCGCGAAAATTTAAAGTAATATATTGACAAACAAGATGATGAAACAAGAATATCAGCAGTCTCGTTTAGTCATCATTTCGTAGGTTCTATGGTCGATACAAAGATCTTGTCAGCAAATACAATTTATCATTGAGTCAAATGCTGACTGACGTTTTTCATACTAATTGTTAAGCCATTATTTACACACTGAATTGTCGACGAATTTTACCGTTATTTCCCGATCATGACAAGGCGCACACGGCGGGTGTGACCGGTCTGCAGGGGATGCTCACTCTTCCATGGCACCTGATCCCACCTGTGATGTTTTTGAGGTCCATGTTTGCTCTGCTCCTATTTTGTATTGTTTAATGGACTTTTGAGCTTGAATACTGTTCGTTATCTCCATATATTTCATGTCATCTATTCTATTTGATAGCGAGAAAAATTTAGATTTAGCTATCATCACTTTGGCTAAAGAAATCTAGGCTGAAGTGCTGCACGATAGCCGTTGATATTTCTCTTGTTTTCTTTAAAAACAATTATGCCCCCATTAGAATTTGGTCTTTCTCTCATTTTTCAAAGCATATATAGAGTTCGTAGCATGGTTGCGATGTATCATAAGGCATTTCTTCCAGGATTGTTTGACGCGTATACGTAGCGGATAGAATCTGGTAGATTTCGGTGCCCTCGAATGCGTCAAACTAGCATGACCCACACTTGTTCTATTAGCGAAAGATCGGGACTCCATACTGTGATCGGAAGGCCGTGAGTTCGAATCTCGGCCGCGACCGACTTAAGTCGATGAAAAATAGGTAGCAACTGTTCCTTCGCCAAGCGCTCGGCACTTTGAAGTGAAAGTTGCGGGTCCTTCGGATGAGTTAGACCTTAAAAACTGAGGCCCCGTCTCACGGCATGCGTTGGCACGATAAAGATCCCTCACTGCTGAATGGCCTTGAGTGCCGAGTTAAGGTCTAAATTTGAAGCCTTCAGCGGTATATGGTGACGCCTTTAAATGAGTGAAAAAAAACCTCGAATGGGACGTAAAACAACATACATCAATCGGAACTACATGGGGATCGATGTTATTAAGGTTTCGAAATTGTTTTGGTTAACATAGTCCATTGCACGTCGCGCTACATAACACTGAGCAAACAGCACGCCGACAGGTTGAACAATAACAATCCTGTCACATTCCACCATACAATTATCAGCTAAACGTTTACCGCGAAGTCAATAAGCGCACCGAACGCCCATCTGAGCGGTAGAGCTTGAATCCTTAGTACACGGCGTGATCTGTACATTGAAAACGAATCTAATGGGGTGCCGTTCCAATCATTGGGGTCAAATAACCGTGCTTCGCAGACCATTTCACACCGTGTGTTTTCCACCGTTGGGCGGGAAATATTCTTGGCCTGTATTGTATATATACGCCCCTTAGGAGACCTATGCAAAGCCCAAGAATCGTATACTTGGATTGATAAACGTTTCGCACAGGATTTTGTGTAATTTTCTATTCACGACATTTTCTCTTTCAATATACATTGTAAATCTTGAAAAAAAACTGCTGAGCATTTATAGGAATTTTTCCTAGACTTTGATGTTCATATATTTAACACATTTAATTTACAGCGGGCTGTTCTAATCAGAACAATACCTTCAATGTTTCGATTTCGTCTCCGTATGTCATCACATCTCCTAACTTTCCATCACATTACCCAAAGTAAGTATTTTCCTGCTTCATTAAACAAAATTAATTCAACAAAAAAATTTAAATCTACCCTTCTGCAAATTACTAATGTTGAGAAGCATAAATAATGCATTTCTTTCCATTTATGTGTGTAAAGATAAGTTTATGACATCAATCGACTCGTACTTCCATGTTGTACAGACATAATTATGTGGTTTTACAAGACAATTTTTAGACAAAAACATAAACAAAATGTGTCGTCTATTCATTGTCTGCATATATTTTGGGGACCAAAACATACCCTACACATATCTAGCTGAAATTATAACAAACACCAACTTATAGCAACTTGTTATAAGGTGACAGCACCTGCAAACTACAATAGAAAGAAAAGAGAAAAAAGTGTAAGTATATACATATACTTATATAAAGGTGAGGGTTGAAGGTGAGTTGTAAAAACTTTCAACTGTTTTAAAGTTTGTTTTCTGTTTAAATACCCCTAGTGGCGAACCAAATATTGCTTCCTAAGTATAACCAGTCGGAAGAAAATCCGTATCTTGTGCCAAAATACTTTTAAATCCATAGATGTTGTTTTATACAGCATTAAAAATAAACACATGTTATAAGGTAAAACTTTTAATAAAGGTATTGATGTTAATATCATTTTATATTCTTGGTTGAAATTTCGCAAAATTAATCAAAGGGAATATCACCATTTTTAGGTCACCTGAGTGACTCAGGTGACCTATTGCTATCTGTTTTTGTCTGTCGTCGTTCGTCGTACGTCGTTCGTCGTCAATCGGTCGTAAACTTTTGAACATTTTTAGCTTCTTCTCTGGAACCACTGAACCAATTTCAACCAATTTTGGCATATAGCATCTATGGATGAAGGGGAGTAAAAATTGTGAAATTCATGGTCCCTGCCCCCCTGGGGCCTGAGGGGTGGGGCTAAAACCATCAAAATTAATGCAATCTTTAAAAATCTTCTTCTTTACTCCTGGACATCAAGCAGTGAAACTGTTGGCATGATTGTAATAAGCATTGAGCCCTCTACTAAAATTGTGAAATTCATGGCCCCAGGGTCAGGGGTTCTGGTGTTAGGGCGCGGCTCTAATGAATATATAGTGAAAATGCATTAATTCTTTGAAAATCTTCTCCTCTGCTCCTGGGTATTAAGCAGATGAAATAAGTACATAGTTATGAAGAGCAAGAGTGCCTCTTCCAAAATTGTGAATTTCATGGCCCCAGGGTCAGGGGTTCTGGTGTTAGGGCGGGGCTCTAATGAATATATAGTGAAAATGCATTAATTCTTTGAAAATCTTCTTGTCTGCTTCTGGGTATTAAGCCGATGAATTAAGTACATAGTTATGATGAGCAAGAGTGCCTCTTCCAAAATTGTGAATTTCATGGCCCCAGGGTCAGGGGTTCTGGTGTTAGGGCGGGGCTCTAATGATTATATAGTGAAAATGCATTAATTCTTTGAAAATCTTCTCCTCTGCTGCTGGGTATTATATAAACAAACTAAGTTCATGGTTATGACAAGCATTTATGCCTTTTCCAAAATTGTGAAATTCACGGCCCCTGGGTCAGGGGTTCTGGTGTGGGGGGGGGGGGGCTCTATTGATTATATAGTGAAAATGCATTAATTCTTTGAAAATCTTCTTGTCTGCTTCTGGGTATTATTTAAACAAACTAAGTGCATGGTTATGACAAGCATTTATGCCTTTTCCAAAATTGTGAAATCCATGGCCCCTGGGTCAGGGGTTCTGGTGTTTGGGGGGGGGCTCTATTGATTATATAGTGAAAATGCATTAATTCTTTAAAAATCTTCTATTTGCTCCTGGATATTTAAACAAACTAAGTGCATGGTAGGACAAGTAATGATGCCTTTTTCAAAATTGTGAAATTCATGGCCCCTGGGTCAGAGGTTCTGGTGTTTGGGGGGTGGGGGGCTCTATTGATTATATAGCGAAAAATGCATTAATTCTTTGAAAATCTTCTTCTCTGCTCCTGGGTATTATTTAAACAAACTAAGTGCATGGTTATGACAAGCATTGATGCCTTTTCCAAAATTGTGAAATCCATGGCCCCTGGGTCAGGGGTTCTGGTGTTTGGGGGAGGGGGGCTCTATTGATTATATAGTGAAAATGCATTAATTCTTTAAAAATCTTCTATTTGCTCCTGGATATTATTTAAACAAACTAAGTGCATGGTAGGACAAGTAATAATGCCTTTTTAAAAAATTGTGAAATTCATGGCTCCTGGGTCAGGGGTTCTGGTGTTAGAGGGGGGCCTCTATTGATTATATAGTGAAAATGCATTAATTCTTTGAAAATCTTCTTCTCTGCTCCTGGGTATTATTTAAACAAACTGAGTACATGGTAAAGGTGCACAAGGTTGCTTTTTCCAAAATTGAGAAATTCATGGCCCCTGGGTCAGGGGTTCTGGTTTTAGGGGGAGGGGGGGGGGCTCTAATGATTACATTTTAAAAAATGCAATGATTCTTTGAAAATCTTCTCCTTTTCTCCTGGGTTTTAAGCCAATGAACAAAGAATATAGTTATGATGAGTAAGAGTGCCTCTTCCAAAATTGTGAATTTTATGCCCCCTGGGTCAAGGTTCTGGTGTTAGGGCAGGGCTCAGGGCAAAGTTGATACATGATACTCAGGTGACCTATAAGGCCCGTGGGCCTCTTGTTTTTATTCTAATTAAGTTGAAGCAAAAAACTTTTTATCCATCAGGACGACTTGTCCGTAATGCCATGATTCATGTTGCATAACTTGTGTATATTTAACGGAAGGGAAAATGTATAACTTTAAAAGTAAACAACCTAAGTAACTGTCAGTGCGAACATCAATTAAAGTTCTCTATTGCAGAGGACATACATGAAATGCAAAGATAACGAACAGCGATACATGTAGTTTTCAAATGTCCATTGAGACAATACATATGAACAGGGCCCAACACGGACCTCTAAAATAGAGATAGGAATGGGTGCCATGGAGGAATAAGCATCTCCTTTCGACAGATCAAATCCGCTGTGTGCTCCTTTTCATGACTGAGTTAAGGGAAAATTCCATAGACAGTTGAGTGTGAAAATAATGGTCTAACAATTTGCATGAAAGATGTTGGTCAACTTTTGGCATATATATACATGTATATATGTAGTACCGACTCGACACAATCTAACAGAAGCGGACCCGGGTTCGCTTCCCGTCTTCGCTTCGGGTTCGCTAGGGCTGACCCCGAGTTTTCTCCTGACGAGGATTTTTTTCGGTGGCATATCTTCAACTTCATGCGCATTAATGTCAACTTACGGTATCATCCAATCAGAAAACTTTTAACTGTTTAATAAGGTATTGAAGAAATCTAAGTAATTGTAACGCTTTGCTGGACAGCATTTACTTTATGTTTTCAAGCATAGATATGACGCCAATTGTTAAGCATTGTAACGAAAGCAAAGTTTAAAAGTATGAGTGATGATTATAAGGGCGCAGCGTTTTTAATAGCAATGCGCCATTATTTAATTTAATGCGACTATGGCGCAGGGCGCGTGCTTATCCCAATCACTGCGTGAAAAAAGTCAGTCAAAAACACGGACTCCTGGAAACACTAGTAATGGGATCATGTGTCTAGGAGTAAATATCCACTGTTGACCTGTCAAACCCGCCTTGAACCCTGTTTATGACCAGGTGAAGGGACTTATCAATAGGTAGGAAACCTGCCAGTCTAAAAAAGATATGCTGTATTTGCAAAGTTAACCAGATGTTTAAAGGAGATTGTTGAAAGTCATGTTACATGTATCATCTACATGTACTAAAACATGAATAGTTTGCCTCGATTTAAAAATATATTCTTCTCAAAACATGGTCTTGCGTAACAAATCAGCTGGGTGACATAAATATATGCAGGGGATAATGAAATATTAGTTATATTAATACAAATTATTAGGAGGTTGATCGACTTGACGATGGAAAAGCTGAACTCATCCCGTTTGTTAAATAGTTTAGTTGTTATTTCGCCACTAAAGTCAAAAGACAGTAAATCCTTCAAATGAAAATAATCTTTATTTAATATTGCTAAAACGTATTAATATATCGGAGGCCACAAGAAGAGTATTCATGTTCTCATGTAGATGTTTTGAATAAATTCTGCCTCGTAAGATAAAACAGGTCGGCTAATAAAGAGGAGCACAATGAATTCCGTCGGATATCAAACAGATTGTATTACAGTGATACTTGTCTAGTTCGGGTGTTGTGTAATTTGAAATATTGTCTGTTACGAAGAAAACTTCAAGTGATACTTGTTTAATCGGATGTTTTGTAATCCGAAATCTTTGTGTATTACGAATAAAACTTTTAGTGATATTTGTCTACGACGGATATAGTATAATCCAAAGTCTTGTATATTACGAAGAAAACTTTAGTTATACTTGTCTTATACGGATGTTGGTTGTGTAATACGAAATGTCTATTACACTGAAAACATTTAGTTATACTTGTCTTATACGAATGTTGTGTAATCCGAAATCTTGTATATTATGAAGAAAACTTTTAGTCTCGTTGAGTAAATTCAATTGTTTAAAATGTCTAATCTGCCAATTTCTGTGGAACCAGTGGTGTCTGGATCAGACATGTTTTACTATAATATGGTCTCGGAAGACTACAGATAGATAAATATTATCAGTCATCTTTTATTCATTATTAAAAATCTATATCTATTCATTTTACTCTACATGATTTGTATATATGATTTGTCAAGTACATAATTTATTTTGTAGCCTGATTCAATGCCATTATACTTTTATACCAGTGCCTCTGAGCCAAGGACTTGTCATCTCGTTCCAGTTTGTCAATCTTGATTACGATAGAGGTTGTTATGACAAGATCATCTTAAAGGAAGGTATTAAATATCTATCTTTTATGCTAGGAAAATATTTCTGACCAATGATGAAATAATAATGTATTTATATATACTATAAGATCAAGTTTTCTAAATTTTCTTGATTTAGTAGTAAAATTAAAGAAAAATCGTCCCCTAAAAATCTAAATGTGCCTGATTTAGATCTCATAAAAAATATTTAAAATTCCCAGCATTGATTTTTATCAACAGCAAAAGCATAAGATTCAAATGGAATATAGTTTGAGGTATGAACCGAGACTTACTTTTTCCAATTTTAAATTTATGTCAAGCCAATGTAAAAACAAGATGTGTTTGTGAAACACTGATGCCCCCGTATGGCAACTTATAGCAAAGGTTAAACTTTCTCAAATGCAAATCAAATATGTGGGTACCCAAAGTAAGGTCTTGTCTCGAGGAATATACCTGTGAAATATGAAAGCACTAGCAGCAACCATTAAATAGATATAGAAAAGGTTAAAGTTTTTTAAAAGTAAGTCAAACATCAAGGTCAAATGGTCAAAATTAATGGTGCCTAAGGAAAGGCCTTCTCAAAAGAAATATACAGGTGAAATATGAAAACTGAAGCCCCAATCGTTCAAAAGTTATTACCAAGGTTTAAGTTTTTCAAAAGTAGGTCAATCTCCAAGGTCAAGTCAATGGATTACAACTGTTGGTATCCAAAGGATGGTCTTGTCACAGGGATTACATATGTAAAGTATGAAAGACCTAGCACCAATTGTTCAAGAATTTGGCCAAGGTTAAAGTTTTTCAAAAGTAGGTCAAACTCCAAGGTCAAGGTCAAAGCGTAAAAGTTGTTGGTATCCAAAGGAAGGTTTTGTCACAGGGATTGCATATGTGAAGTTTGAAAGACCTAGCACCAACGGTTCAAAAGTTATGGCCAAGGTTAAAGTTTTTCAAAAGTAGATCAAACTCCAAGGTCAAAGGGTCAAAGTTGTTGGTATTCAAAGAAAGGTCTTGTCACAAAGATTACATATGTGAAGTATGAAAGCTAAAACACCATTTGTTCAAACGTTGTGGCCAATGTTAAATATTTTCAAAAGTAGGTAAAATCCAAAGGTCAAGGACAAAGGGTCAAAGTTGTTAGTATCCAAAGGAAGGACTTGTCACAAGGATTACACATGTGAAGTATGAAAGCCCTGGCACCAATTGTTCAAAAGTTATGGCCAAGGTTAAAGTTGGATAAAATTTTGCAAAACTGGGTCAAACTCCAAGGTCAATATGGTGGTACCCAAAGAAAGGTCTTATCACAAGAAATACACATGTGAAATATGAAAGCCATAGCTCCAAACAATCAAAAGTTATGGGCAATGTTAAAGTTTTTGCGGACAAACAGACAGACGAACGGACAAGGCAAAAACTATATACCCCCGAAGCTTTGATACGGGGGCATAAAAATTGACACAGTAACAGAAAGAGCACTCTTTTTTTTATCAAAACATAAAATTAAAAATAGGAGGTATATTTAAAAATAATATTTAGTGTTATAGATATATAATTCATATCAGAAAACATAATGAAGTGATGCTTTTAACATGCATTCTCTGTAAGCACCAACAAATTTACTGTAGGGCTAGGAAACTGATGAAATTTGCAAAACAGGTGCGTTTTGGTACGAAACTAGCAAATATGGTGTCGGAAGTTTCACATGTGCAATCGGTTGCCATGAAGACGGATCCATTGAATGTGGATATTTTTGGCCCTTTTTGACCAAAATGAAAACATGAAAATTGAGAAAATATAAATGCATATGTGTTGGTGTCTAATACATTCAAACAAAAATCGTTGGATCATAAAATAACATGAACTTTTAAGATATACAGGGCATATAATCATATATTCTAGAAATATTTCCACTCTAAGGAAAAGTTATGGATATTGACATGGTTTCTGAAAATGGGAAATTTAGTATTTTTTTTGAGATTTTTAAGGCTAAATAAAAAGTCCGAGGATAGTTTCCATATCTGACGTGTGCTTCGATACTTGAGGATTAGTAGTGTCATCTCATTAAAAAAAATATCAGTGGGCTTTTAATGATATTTTTAGCGACATGTATTTATAAATAGACATGTTTTAGAAAATTGTTTTTAAAAATCGAATTTTGTCAACGTTTTAGAAGTCGTTGTTGGATAATTAGGAAGTATTTTGTAAAATAGAAGATGTTTATAACAGAAGCTTGACACCACTAACTGGCGTGAACAATGGTTGAAGGGGATTCCCATTTCTATTTATAGTATCAAGCACGTAAATGTAGGTACTTCTCTGACAGTTTCATGGAAATTGGAAGCTTCATAGATAATGCTATAAAAATATATGATATATAAAACAAATACAATGCTTCTACAATATGTCATAAAGAAGAACATGTGTTTTTACAATAATTGACACAATATTAAGGGTGGACTCTTATTTTTTTTTAATAGCAACAATGGTTTATAAATAGATGCCTCGAATAGTCGAGAAAAATGTAGATTTTTGAACTTTTTAGGAAATGTGGGAGGGAAAAAATGCAGACTGTTATCAATATAGTGTGACTGACAAGTACTAGAAACCATTTACTGAAATACACAATGTCTGATGGGGGTTCCCGTTTCTATTTATAGCACCAAACACCCATAAATAGATACGTCGCAGCATATGAGGAAGAATAACATTTTCCACCAGTTATAAGCTTAATAGAAAAAGTATTTACAAAATATACTGCTGTCTACAATATGTCATCAGCAAGAACATTTGATAATAAATGAATAATTGACAACATTGATGACATACTCTTTTTTCTTTTTATAGCAACAGTTGGCAAAAAATAGATTGCAATTTCTTAGGTACATTTTATTCGCTGCTCAGAAAGAAGGAAAACTGCGCATTCTTTGTAGCCATTTTGTTCTAATCTTAGTTTGAATGAATGTGTTCTTCATAATTCAAGTTCAGACAAATCTGTTGTTTAATTTGACATAAGTGTTCAAAAATAATAAATTTTGAAAGTATTGCTCAAAATTCTCATAAATAGTTAAATTTCAAAGGCGTTTTTCAAAGTTTTCACAATTGATAAATTTCAAAGGCATTGTTCAAAGTTCTCATAAATTGTTAAATTTCAAAGCTATTGTTAGCTAATGTTTAAAGTCACCAAAAATAAAATTCAAAACCTACATGTGTTCAAAATTCTTATGAATTGTTAAATTCCAAAGAACTGATCAGAATTTTCATAAATTGCTAATTTTCAAAGCACTATTTTCATAAATTTTGATTTAAAATCTTGAGAGTGTTCAACGTTCTTATATATAATACGATAAAAATTTAAGGCAGTTTCAAAGTTCTCATATAATTGTGTTCAAAAATCTCATAAATTGTAAAATTTCAAAGACAGTGCTGAAAGTTCTCATTAATCTTTAAATATCCAAGATACCGTCAAATGCTCATAAATTGGTAATTTTCAAAACAAAATTTATGCGGCCAAGCTTTCTTTTTTACTTATTATTATTATTATTAATATAAATAAAGATGAAGTTATTTTCATGATTTTTTAATGCTTGTATCATCTATCCTTGCAATCGGAAAAGATCGGTAAAATATTACCGAATTGAGTTAAAGTGCTCATTCAAAAATGTTAAATTAAAAACCCACTGATCAAGTGACTTTTGCTTACATAAACATTAAGTACACAGTATGTTTGATGAAAACTATGAGGGGCAAATCCAATCAGAACGAACAGGAAATTGGGATAAAACCACTGAGGGCGAACAGGGAATGGGGGCGAAACCACTTATCCATGATAACAGGGGGTCGAATACGGGAGAACCAGCTTAAGTAAGGAGTCGTATGCCTTTAGTTTAAGTTACATCTGGTTGGAGTACCACAGCAAGAAGCTAATTAAAAATTACCTGTGGCGTGAAAGGTCATCAAAGCATTTCTATTAGGCGCTTCGGAAAAAAATGTCCATCAGTAAGAGTTATCTTTCCTTAATTTTTCCTCATTTTCTCAAGAAAAAATACACTAGTAATAAAAATTGTTGATAGTACACTGTAAATTATACAATTGTTTTAGCTGCAAATCTGTATCTCGCTGATCTAAAAGAACTGGGATGAACGACCAGAGAGCTACAGTGCCACCCTTTGAAAAAAAAAATACATTTATTGCGCAAATTTTTTTTATTTCTATATTTAAATTGCTATCTCGTAATATTACTACCATCAAAAAATGTTAATCATGTGTTCCTTACATATTCTTTGTCAATTTTCACAACAAAACATTCCCTATAATCTTTGTATAATAGCCTGGGCCTGAAATCGCATATTTAGCTACCATTTGGGTGACAGGACAAATTGGTTCAACGTTTCGTGCAGATGTCAACTATGAACTCGAGAGTAAGTGTATTTGATAGAGGTCAAAGGAATTTTTCGAAATCAAACTTTTAATTGTCCAGTTGAGGTAAGACTTTGGAGAAATAAATTCAGTACGGAGTGCAATTTTTTGTGCGCAATAAATGTAAAGTTTTGTCTAGGGATGGTACTGTAGCTCTCCGGTCTGTTAAGATATTTTTCGGAGAGCAACAGTTCTGCAGCTACAGTTGTATATTATAAGTTCTTATGAATAGAAATATTTTAGTTTGTGTCAGGAAAATACTCTGGGTGCAAATTGTTAAGATAGAAAACTGTTAATAACTATCAAGTATATTAGCAAAATAAAATACAAAAAAATAAAAAATTAGAAACGTTTAAACTTTTCGCCGAAGGGTGTGATTGCCATTTCGGAATATTACAGTTAATCAGGTAAATGGCTAAAAAAAAATTTAGATTTTCACAAAACTTATTACTTGACCGAATTTCGACGTTGTCTAACGATGTCATGATGAACAACAAATCATCAATCGAAAAACTAAATATCCAGTAAAATCGATTAAAGTTTCACACAAAGGTTTATAACAGGTCAAGCAATAGTAATAATAATATCATTTTCGTTTCATATGCCACTTAGCGTGTTTTTCCTCACAGAGCGTATTGAGAATTGAAATGATAATGAATGAATAAATGTCTCCCCCGCATTTTCAATCATCCGTTTCTATGGCAACTGCCGAAGTGTTACTATCATCATGAATATTTAAAATACTTTTTTATTAAAAATATTCAACGTGTATATATCTCCATCTGTAATTTTCAATCACTTACACTAATAAATAAATAAAATATTAAGAAATTCCATGAACTTTTGGATCAACCCTCGTACAATCCTGTTTATGGAGACCCTTAAAATTATCTTATGGATAAAACTTCACAAAGGTAACGTCACATAGTACCTCTCCTAAGTTGATTCAAGTGTGATGTATTTTATAATTCATATAAGCTTAATATCGTAGGTGACATGAATGGGAATAAAATTGCTGAAATATGTAAGGATTACGGACAAAATAACCCCGTTTTATCTCCAAATGAGACGTACAGAACCACGGGATCATTGTTTCTTCATTTCGTGTCTGACTCTGGTTACCCGGCACGTGGGTTTAGAGCTATTGTCCAACAAGGTAAAGTTATTTTACTTTGAATCTATGAAATATGCAATAGTGGTTTACAATTGTCATAAAGGCGTTTGATTTATCTGCATTAGGGCAAATGTACACAAATTTAACTCGCATATGCCATGATCCTTCATCTGAAATATTCACAGTTGTTTCTTTATTAATGGTGGTTCAGAACACTGCTGTTCTTATAAATAAAACAAATAAACATCTAATATTCTTAATTGCATTACATTCACATCAGACTCAACATCAGGAAACACAGAGAGTACCACAACAGTGGTCACAGAGTCAACAACAAAGGAAAGTACCATACAATCAACAACAGCTGAATCAACTATTGTATCAACAACAAACAGTGAATCATCAACATCTCAAAGCCCCACATCAAGAAACAAAGAGAGCACCACAACAGTGGCCACAGAGTCAACAACAACAGAAAGTACCACACAATCAACAACTGAATCAACTACTGTATCAGCAACAAACAGTGAGTCAACAACGTCCAAAAGCACCACATCAGGAAACACTTTAACAATAGTAACAACAGAAAATACCTCACCAACTCCAACCGTAATGGAAAGTACTACAGTACAAACAACCTTAGAATCAACAACGACAGAAATCACAACACCAGCATCACCTACCCCTAAGTCACCACCATCATCTACCCCTAAGTCTCAAGGTAAGATATTGTATAATGTGTCCTCAGTAGGTCTTTTATCCTTTTTTGTAGAGTTCATAATTCATTTTTTCTAAATATTTATTCCTTCTATAAAAACATACTTAGGTACAATAAGTGAATAACTTGACGGTATTTTGGCATATTCAGAATTTAGCGGCAAATATTGATCATAGACGGTTTAGCTTTATCATGAAATCTGTGTCATTGCAATTTTATTTTTTCGCTGTGTTAAAAAACGATTCAAAATCCAAAAAAGTTATTACACTTATTTTCTGCCGCTGTCAGCTTTTGTATTTTATGTTAATATCACTTGCTATGGATCCCTATAAACACAAATGTCCATACAGGTAATAACATCCAACCACCTGTTTTCGTGATACGTATTCATGTAAACTGATGTATATCTCCTTCACTGTGCATTGTAATTTATTCTGTCTCTATTGTGATTCTTCATTTAAAAAAACAAGAAATTTTATCAATGCAAACAATTAGTATGGGGAGTTAAGGTGGTGCTGCCCCCACCTTTTTCCAAACATAACCTTTTACTATTGAAAATGTTCATTGAAAAGCTGGCCAACCCCAACCCCCCTTCCCCCTTTTTTTGTTGCAGTATAATCAGGGTAATATGGTATTGTATGAATAAAATTGTAAATTAATGAAAGCTGAAAGAAAGTATTGTTGTAAAGTACCGTGAAAATTTGAAATGAATTATAACGTCATAATAGATTTTGCATCAATAGAGTTTCTAACTTCTTTTACTGGAGCTCTGATCTCTTGATGTTCAGTGTAGTATAAAGGATTGTTAATATACAACAAAAACATAAAACTAGAACTTTGCTATTAGAAATAGTATATCTATCACTCCAAACTTACTTAAAAGATGAATTCTGGCGTTGAATGCGTAGTAGACAACTAATATTTTAAAAGGTTTCAAAATTTCAAATTTAATTATATATTCCATGACAAGGGCAGGCTAATTTGAACATTTCAAGACCCAGAAACGGGTAGAAATTAAGTGTTAATTAACAAAGGACAGAATCTAAACCTCATTTGTCCTTGAATATTGATAGAGTTCAAAACTTTTATAATGATAGAAAAGCATTTGCCGATATAATAAGCCTTTAACAATATTAATTTACATACTCACATGAGTGTAAGAATTATTGAAAAAAGAAGGAAAAAAACATGCAAAACAAACCCAAAACAATAGCAATAATATAACAATAAACAATTCCAATTTCCAAAATGAGGAGTAGACTATAATTATCCTTCCAAATACTCGGACGCAACAGATATCACGAGTTTACATTGATAACGAGGAAATTAGTAGTCAGCGAGAAGGAGAAAACCTTTTAATAAAGCAAGTTGAAGACGAGGTAGATTCTCGGTCCAACGAAAACGAAAACAAACCTGATAGTTAAACAGATCCAGTTTCAAGATCGATAGAATCGAGATTACACGCCAACTCCGAGACATCAAGCTGCTTTGACCGTACAACTTTGATTGAATGTCACTTCCATTAAATTTTGTCCGAAAAAGAAATCAGTGGAAGGAAATTTGATATGACCACAACGTGTCCTTTTATTGTTTGATGATCTTCGTTACTATACAGTATAATGCTAGACATGGAGATTGGAAGAATTGTGGTTCAGTCAAAATACAATTGCCTGGACAGAGTGGCTGCATAATACTGAAAAGGGATATATTTTATCAATCACGAGGTATATTTTTCAAACCTGGTTTATAACTTTATTTAGATATCATATTGGAGGAAAAAAAAACGTCAAAATATCTGTAGCATTATATGTTCTTTGGGCTTTGGTTGATCAATCATCAGCATATACACTTTTGAAACAGATAATAATTTATGCTTTTTTAGGCATGCATGTTTATAAATATATGCCGTTTCAAACGTATTTTGATTTGGAACTCAGTATCTTTGCAATTTATCACAACGTAGGAGGGAGTGCCTGTATTAAACTGTTTCTGCAGAAAAAATAAAATGCTGACCTCCTATAAAACTTCAAAAAATTAGATTTTAATATTTTCCAGAGTAGTAAGTCATTTATTTAAATTAGGGATGGCAATCGAATACAAAATTGGTAATCGGTTAACCGCAAGACGTTCCGAGCGATTAACCGGTTAATCGTATCAAATACACATTTTTCTGACCTCTTTTTTTTCCCAAGTAAACTCTATTCATGTACGCAAGAAAACTTTAAAAAAAAAAAAAAAAAAAGCTTATTAATATTTTGTATATGCTTGATCACTACACTTTATATGCTAAATTTCAATTTCGATAGAACAAAAATACGAAAACCATGAAATATCGATCTGATATTTAAGATTGATGCTTTTTCAGACCAGATGTTACGCAAGATCATTGCATTATCACCATAAACAGAAAATGAGACCGAACTAACACATAATTTGCAATGTTTGTTTTAAAATATAATTTGGCAGACAACTCCAGAAGATAGACGGGTAAGATACACATTGTAATCAGTTTACAGTACTCAAAAGTAATTTTAATCAATTTATATCATTAAATAGATACAGGACATGTATTTTAACGGCTTGGTGTTAAAACAGCATTCAACACTTCACAAACTGACCAATTACCCCCAAGCGACCTCAATTTGGAGAGCCTAAATTAATTAATTACCTCCAAGTCGGCTGATATAAATGTAGGAAACTTATCAACATTAAGAGATTTTTTTACTTTGAAAATTGATTTATAATGCAATTTACACAGATATAATTTTTTCCGACTAACCGATTACAGATTTGCCAACCGATTACCATCGTTCCGACCGAGTAATCGGTTAACGGTTACGAATCGCCATCCCTCATTTAAATATATAGTTACACATATATGGAAAAAAAAACAGTTCTGGGTGCATTAAATCATTGGTATATCCAATGAAATAAAATAAAATCAAGATACACAAGACTTGAATAAACATTCGTTTTTATTTAAGCTTTATCTCTTTTAATGGATTTTCAGACACTTAGAAAAGAATTGCAAAAAGCCAGCAATCCTCTTAACATTGTGAATCAGCTCTTTTGTAGGGATTTATAAAACATTATTACATCTTACCCACCAGGCCCCGGGATCATGAAAGATCTTAAGCTTAAGTCAAAAAATCTATCTTGTACTGAATTATTGTAGAAGTCAAATAGACCAAAATGAAAATATTATTTAATATGGTACCACCAATGTGCTGCTGTCTGCAAAGATAGGGATTTCCTTGACTATTAATAAACAACTTACAGGTGATTGAAAATTTGACTTAAGTCTAAGTCTGCTTCATGATCCTGTGAACGGAAATTTATTTTAAAACAATTACATTTTTTTTCATTTTTATTCAGTTTCATTTTTACCAATTGATATTATTTTTATTTTCAGATTAATATTTTGGAGATAATCCCTCCAGTTCTTTCCATTAAAAAATGTTTTTCGTGTTTCTTTTGTCTCTTTTGTAGATACAAATAAATATTATTTACATTTTCACTTTGTGATCGGGAGGTCCGGATTCGCCCTTACAAAAATACTTTTATAAGTAAACTATAGTAAACTACGGTTCACGATAGTGTACTATAGTTTACTATTTTGATAACTTTGACACTTTAATTATTCCTCCCTTCGAAGAAGGGAGGGCAAATTGTTTTGCTGCTGTCGGTCCACCAATAGTTTCCGTTCATTTTCTTCGCAGAGGTTGCACATACTGGAATGAAATTTGGTATACAGATTTATCATAAAAATATCTAGGTCAAGTTCTGTTTTGGGTACGATCGAGCAATTTTTTACAGAGTTATGCCCCTTGGACTTAGAAAAATTCCAATTATTTGGGGGGGGGGGGGGCATAAGTGTTTTACAAACATATCTTGTTTACTATGGTTATACTTTAAAAACTTTGATTAAATATAGTAATCACTATGGCACTATACTTTTGTAGTAATAACTATGAAAAGTCCGAAATACTATAGTAATCACTATGAAAACTTTGATTTACTGCGTAAGGTGACAACTATGAAAGCTTTGATATACTATAGTGATCACTATGACACTATGGAGATCACTTAAAAAAACTTTGACTCACTATAGTTATCACAATGATACTATAGTGATTACTTTGAAAACTTTGATTTACTAAAGTGATAACTTATAAACTTTGATTTACTAAAGTTAACTATAGTAAACTACACGAGGAGTGATCAAAAAGTTCGCGAACTACATTGTACATGTATTTCTATAGAGAACAAACCACAATTCAGATCAAAATGAAATTTTGCACACCTATTGTCTTACACATATTCTATAAATAGCAGTTATGTTATGTTTTGCGGTATGTTTGTGACGTCACAATGTGAAAATGACGTCAATATGTAGGTGACTTGTGACAAAACATGATTGACTCAGTCGTACTCAAGCAACGAACGGCTGTAAAGTATAACGTATATCTTGGAAATTCCTTTGCAGTAGCACATAATAATTTGTACAAGGTTTATGAAGACAAAAGACTTGCCAGAACTTCAATCATTAGTTGAATTGATTGATTTATTGAAGGAAGGGAAATGATTAATAATGATGTTTATTCCGTTTCCCAGTGAAAGCAAGCTGGGGAAGAGATGTGTCCTTAGTTGAGCAATTTGTTATAAAAGGATGCCAAGTTACAGTTTGAAAATTAGTTGAATATCTTAACAATAATATGATTATTGAATTCCTAAAATATCGTTTACTTTAGATCTTAAACATATCAGATATGAAAGGAAGAATGTGCCAATACTTTATCAACATTTGAAAAACGACGCTCCCAAGACATAGGACTCGGGTTGTAATGGTCACAATACTCATTTTGGGAAAAGAGTATCCTTATCCAACCATCCTGTTGCTGAGATTTGGCCATTTCTGACAAATGGACTGTTCTTGTTATAAAAAAAAATAACTTGCATGGTAAGAAATATAAGACTCAGAAAAATCGTTTAGCTTTCGTAAA